AAGACGACGACGTCGCCAACGAAGACGACGACGAGGGAGGAGGGAGGACGACGACGGCGACAACGACGACAACAACGACAACGACGAGGGAGGAGGGAGGACGGCGACGACGCGAACGACGAAGAAGGAGGAAGGACGGCGACGCCGACGACGACAACGACGAGGGAGGAGGGAAGACGACGACGACAACGACGACGACGACGACGACGACGGCGACGAAATGGGAGGGACGACGACGAGACGCCGACGACGGACGACGACGACGACGAGGGAGGAGGAGGAAGGACGACCACGGCGACAACGACGACGGAAACGACCACGACGCCAAAAAGGATGACGACGACGAACACGAGGAAAGACAGAGGACGACGTAGGCGACGACGACGACGCGGGAGGAGGGAGGACGGCGACGACGACGACGACGACGACGCAAGAGCGCGCGCGCACGCTTTTGTTGAAAATCCGTGTTGCGAAACCTTGTGTTTTTTTTGTTTTTCGGACACACGATGTTGGAATCCTTCCGAAACCGATGGGTTTTGAAGGATTTCGGCATGCGCGCGCGACGACGCGCGCGTCTGCACTTCGTCCCATACTTTGCAAAGGAATCTCGCGACGGCACACGCGCAAAGGCGTTCGACAGATTTCGACATGCGCGCGCGCGAAGCCCGTGTGGTAGCATGTTGTGAAAATATTGAAAAACCTATGGTTTTTCTTTAGATTTCGCAAGAGCTCGCGCGTAAGCTTTTTTAGCAAATCAGTGTTGCGAAACCCTGTGTTTTGAATGTTTTTTTGGAAACTCGATTGCGACATCCTTCCGACACAGAAGGTTTTTGAAGGATTTCGGCATGCGCGCGCGGCGACGCGCGCGTGTGCACTCCGTCATATTTGTTCCAAGGGATTCGCGAAAAAGTGTGATGTTAGAACAAAAGGTGTCCCCGCGTATCGTTTCTTACAAGGGAACCTCAGGGGAACCGATACCGGCTCCCCGGGGACAATGTAAATTCATATTTCGAATGGACATGTGGTCAGAATCGCACATGATTTAAATACCCGAAAGGGGGGCGGCGAACGCCGGGGGAGATCCTATTCTGTTTCTTGAAAAGAGAATCCATGTGGTGCAATCTGTACGGTGCAATCAATGTTGTACAAATTATGTGGTGCAACCTGTGTGGTGCAATCTCTGCTCTGCCATCTACATTGCGGAACATATTTGGCTCACACTACGCGGTGCACGGGCGACGGGGCGGCGAGGCGGCGACGGGGCGGCCACATAGCTGCCAGACCGACAGACACGGCACAAACAACGGGCGGCGACGAAACGTCGGCGGGGCGGCGACGACGGCCAAATAGCCGCCAGAGCGACAGACACGGCCCAGACGACGGGCGGCGGCGAGGCGGCGACAGGGCGGCGACGGCGGCCACATAGCCGCCAGACCGAAGGACAAGCGCAGTTCCGTAGAACATGATCGCCAGCATGGGCTCCGAACGACGTGTTTCTAACAACCGACGCTGATCAATCTGAATGGCGCGATATGTGAAGCTACATAAGTGGTGCACTCGATGTGGTGCAATACATATATATATATATATATATATATATATGTATCCGCCGACCCCTTGGGGATCATCGGCGTGTGAGATGCTTCCCCCTCCCCAAACCCCTCCCCCGGGAGCCCGGTCCGGTCGATTTGGAGGGGGGGGGGGGGGTCGAGCGCGAGCGGGGGGGGTCCGGGACGAGCGGTTCACGGGGCTTTTCCGAGCCCAAGAGGGCCTCAAGACGGGCCAAGAAGCCCCCAAGAGGCCTCCAAGACGGCGCACGAAGGCTCCGAGACGCCAAACGACCGGTCCAAGACGCCCACGATGGCCCCAAGACGGGCCAAGAGGTCTCCAAGACGGCCTCCGAGGTCCCAAACAAGCCTCCCAAGAGGACCCCAAGAGTCTAAAATTGTTGATCTTCCATAGTGTTTTTCTATGTTTTTTGCTTTTCCGCCTTTTCGGCTTCCCGACGCTCCAAGACGGCCAAAGAGGCCCCCAAGAAAGCCCCAAGATGGCCCAAGAGGCCCCCAAGACGGCCTCCAGACGGCCCAAGACGGCCCCAACACGGCCCAAGAGGTCCCCATGACGGCCCAAGAGGGCTCCAAGACGGCACCAAGAGGGGCCCAAGAGGGCGACCAAACATGTTGAAACTCTAGCTTTCTGCCCCCAGGAGCCCCAGGGGGCCCAAGAGTGCCCCAAGAGGCCCCCAGAGGCCCTCACGAGGCCGCCCAGACGCCCCAAGGAACCCCCAAGAAGCACCCCAGAGGCTCCGAAACGGCCCCCAAGTGGCTCCAAAACTCGCTTTTCACCCCTTCGCAGCATCTACTACCCCCAGATTGGCATAAACAAGGGGTCGGCGGTGTGGCGTAAGCCTAAGAATCCACGTCCGGAGGTGACGTGCTGAGCGGTAGCGTTTTTCGGCGAACGCCTTAATGCAACGTATCCCATGTGTCCAATGATTGCACAATCGATACATATTGTGTTTTGTTACAGTATTATGTCTCCCCCCCTAACCCCCCCCTGGAGTCGCGCCACAGCGCCGTACCAAAAGTTGGCCCCCCTCATTCTGGACCCCAAACCTACAAAAACCTACGTAAAATCAACAATTTCGGCCTTTTCGGCCTCTATTGCACAATTGATACATATTGTGTTTTGTTACATTATTATGTCTCCCCCCCTAACCCCCCCCTGGAGTCGCGCCACAGCGCCGTACCAAAAGTTGGCCCCCCTCATTCTGGACCCCAAACCTACAAAAACCGATGTAAAATCAACAATTTCGGCCTCTTCGGCCTCTTGGGACTCCAAGAAGGCGTCAAGGGGGTTCCAGGATGGCCCCATGACGGCCCAAGACGGCCCAATACGGCCCCAAGACGGCCCCAGATGGTCCCAAGAGGGCCCGTCAGGCCCCCAAGACGGCCCAAGAGGGCCCCAAAATGATCCCAAAGGGCGCCTCCATGAGCCAAAATCATAAATTTCCCAATGGCTTTTTAATAATTTTCGCGTTCTCGCCCTTGCCGGCTCTCAGAGGACCATGACGGCCCAACCAGCCTCCAAGGAGACCCCCAGACGGCCCAAGAGGCCCCCATGGAGGTTCCAAGATGGCCCAAGGGGGCCCGACACGGCCAAAAGAGGCCCCCATGACGGGCCAAGGGGTCTCCAAGACGGGCGAAGGAGACTCCCAAAGAGCCCCAAGGCGGCCGCGAGAGGCCTCCAAGATGGCCTCCGAAGGGGCTGGGCGGCGCAAGAGCGCCCCAAGACGGCGCAAGACGCAAGAAGAAGCCCCGAGAGGCCCCAAGGCGGCCCCAAAGATGCCCCAAGAGGATCCCTGGAGGCTTCCACGAAGCTCCCATGAGCCCTTCCAGGACACCGCCTCAAGCCCCGGGGATGGCAGGCCGGAGCGGCACACGCGCGCGGAGGCCGAGCATGTCACGCCATGTAACGCCAACATTTTCCACAGTTCTCCACGGCGGCGATGACCAGTTCGGATCGGATGCGCGGCGCCTACTCTGCCCGCCTGCAAGCGCGGCGCCTACTCTGCCCGCCAGCAAGCGGGGCAGAGCATGTCTGCTTTGTCGCGCTGGGAACTCTTCACGGCTGCTCGCATAAACACTGCCGAGCACTGGGCGCATTTCAGCCCCCCGCGCGGATCCCGGCACTGAGCGCAGGTCCACTCTTTCAAGTTCCACACTCTGTACTTGGCCGTCTTCGGCCGCGGAGTCGTGCCACATCTCGCGCACGGCGGGAATTTGCAAGACTCGCACCAAAACCCGGTGCTGTACGTCAAGCGGTCTGGAGGCCTTGCTCCGCAGCCTCCCTGACAGAGGGGCTTCCCTTTTTCGTCGAGACATTCTGTGCACGCGGCGTCTTTGACGCTCTTGTGCATCTGAAAAAAGGCTGCATCAAACTGATCCGCTGCCTTCTCCTGCGAGCAGATGCGGCACTTAAAAAGGCGGCCCTCCGACATAATGTTGAAATGCTGCCTCTCAGGGGGTGCAAGCGACGCAAACGGCAAGGTCCAGCGCCCCTCTTCCCGTCAAGTCATTGACCTCGCTGCGTCTGAAGTTCTTTAACGATTTAGTCTCCTTGCAGCGATTGCAGACGAGCACGTCTCTGCCTTTCGCGGCGAATGGCTCTGCAGCCGCGGCGGGCGCGCCCGCAGCAGAGGTCCGCTTCTGCGCGCACAGGGCGCACCTCCTCCACGCGCCCTGGCACAGCAACGCCACGGCGTGCTCTACGGGGTCGCTCGTTCTCATGCCGCTGCCTGGGAAGTTGCCCGCTCTCTTCCGCTGGTGGCAGTCGGCGCACTGGAAAGTGACGTCCACCAATTTCTTGGACGACCTGGACGCGGCTTCCTTCTCTGCCTTGGCCCAGCCGGCTTCCGCCTGCTCCGTCGTCATCTCCCCGGCTGTCAGGGAGTGCAAGAGCCATGGGCCCGTCTGATGCCCCTGGCGGAAAAGCATGGGCGAAAAAGGCTGCGTGATGATCAGATCGTCAGCCCTCCTGGTGCGGCTGATGGCCACGTAGCCCGTGGGGACCATGGCTGCGCGGGGCGTCGTGCGCGCGTCCAGGAGGTCGATAATGGCCTGCGGCAGCGTGGCGCCGGTGACGCAGTGGGCCGTGGCGGCGACGTGCGGGACCAGCGGGAACCCCGCGCGCTTCACCATGGCCTTGAAAAACAAAACAAAAAAAACTAGAAAGAAAAAAAAAAAAAAAACGAGAAAAAGACCCAAAACCAAAACAAAAACAACACACCCTCGCACCACCGCCACCCCTCCCCACACCCCCACCCTCCCCCCCCACCCACCCGCCCACCTCTCCCCCCCCCCCCTCCCGCCCATCGCCTGCCATCTAACCCAGTACACCTCCCTCTGCAACCCTTGGACGCCCCCCTCGTTGCAGTCCATAACCCCAAGCGGGCCCGTGTCCCCGGAAATTGCAACCAAGATCGCCTCGGGCACGGTGCTTCAGTACCAGCACCCGCCCGGCACGGACCAGTTGTCTATATCACCAACTACGATCGTCGGTTGGAGACCCAGCCGACACGAGTACCTCAGGAGGGGCTTGCAGGCTCCCGCCTCCGCATTCTCCGTGGTGGTGAACCGCGCCCGCATCCCCTCGAAGATCGGCAGCACACCCGGAACTCTGCCAGTCTTGTTCTCGGGGTACATGAGCCAGTTCTGCCTGGCGTGGGAGAGCGACTCCGTCGACCTGCATGCGTCGTCCCGAGTGAGGGGGACTTCGCGCGCCACCACCCAGAGGAGCTGCTTCCCAGCATTGGCTGCCGCATTCGCCGCTCGCAGCGTCAGAATCCTGCTCTTCGGGGCGTTGTACGGGTGCACGAACAGCGCGTCCGCGAACGCCGTGCTCACCTCCCGCTGTCTGGCATCGCTCTGAGAGGCGACGCGGCAGCGCCGATGGCGTTCCGCGCTGCACTCAGCGCACTCCAGGGATTTCATGTCCTCCCAGGCCCGACCTTCTCCGAACATCCGTGGCCACTCAACTGACCAGAGCGCGCGGCACTTCGCCTTCCCGCAGCCGAAGTGCCCCGTCGAGGCCTCGGCGCTGCCGGGGCTTGCGGGCATCCAGGAGCCGGGCACATCAGTGGGGAAGCCGTGGACGAAATCGTACATCCTGTCCGACAGATTCCCAGCGCGCGCTTCGGCGAGAAAGCTTCTCCACCACACGTCTGAGCAGCGGTGCGACTGGGCCAGGGCGTAGCGGTTAGTCACCGAGTGCGGCAAGCCCTCTGTCCAGAACATCTCCAGTATGCGGCCAACGTTGGCGGGTCTCTTGACAAATGGGTTGGCGGCAATACTGAGACTCCTGACGGGCGGTATCTGCCATAAGTCCCCGAGCAGCACCAGGTTGAGCCCTCCGAACATGGCGAACTGTTTTGGAACGCGTGCGTCCACGGCCCAGGGGTTTCCCTTGTCCCTCGTCGAGTCCTTCACCTGCCTGTGCACGGCGCCCAGCAACTCCACCGAAACGTTCTCCACCTCGTCGATGATGAGCCAGCGCATGTGCTGGATTTTCGTGTGCAGCATGTTCTCCGACAACTCCGGGTCCTTCTTCCCGCCGGACGCCGGACTGGACTCCCGTGATGAGGTCGATTCCGAGCTTGCTGAAGTTGTGGATGGTTCGCCCACCGATGTTGCTCGCCATGGAATTCATGGGGGCGGTCTTGATGAAGTGCACCTCGTGTTCCCATCCCATGCACGTGGGGAACAGCCCCACGCCCTCCTCGCACAGCCACCGGATGACCTCCGATTTCCCTGAACCCGGCAGGCCGAGAACGAACAGCCGGGAGCATGGCGATCCGCGCAGCTGGTCCTGCTCGCGGGCCTCCTGGACGCACCTGTCGGCGACGGCGTCCAGGATGCTCATCTGCTGCGGGTCGGTGGTGATCTGGTGCGTCTGCAGTCCTGCGATCGGGCAGGGATGCGCATGGCCTTGCCTCCCTTCACACTACCCACCTTACCGACGACTGCTGCACAACCCTGTCTGCTACACATCACACGTGCCGCGCCACCTGCCTGGCATGCCCAGACGTGTATACATCTGGGAAGTCCATGTTTATACATACACACACTATACGCGCGTGCACATGTAGACGCGTACGCGCACCTTCCACAGAGCACGCATGGCGCGACCGAGGCAATGCAAGCAAACGCAGCGCCATCCTTTTAAGTGTATACACGAAGCCTCGCTTGTAATCAACCTTCCCCATACTTGGATCTACTCACCACTTACGACATGACGTTCTGGAGTATACATGATGTGTACACATTCTGCACATGCTCTGTACAAACTCTGTTCGATACACGCCAGCTCAAACGCCGAGGTTTCCATCCTCGATATCTTCTTCCAGAGCGAGACGAATCGGGCGCCCCCGACCGAACTGCATCCAGATCGTGCTTTTGCCCACTGCACGTCTCGAGATTGCCCCCCCCCGGTCCTCTCCGCCAGCTCTGGATGTTGCTTGTCAGGTCAGCGTCGCCAGGGTACAGCTTCTCCCGCATCTTGGAGCGCGCAATCTTCCGCGGTGGCTCCTGGGCATTCCCGCGAGCCCCCGCTGGCATTGCACTGGAATGCCGAAGAGCAGACTGTCGCAGTGGCAAGTTCAACGTGGGCGCCCTGTTCGGCGGGTCCCAGAAGGACATGCTCTGCTCCAGCGCTTTGTGCACCGAATGGGAGAGGTTCCCAATGTCCTCGCCAGCGGCATCTGCCCCGGCGTCTCGGTCTACTCGCCGTAACTCTGCCATGATGCTGCTGGGACTGAGGACCGGAAACGCGTTCTCGGGTAGCGCCTCCACCGGCTTCGAGTCCTGGTCGTCCTCGCCCACGTCGGCGTTCTCCGGCATCGTCGTCATGGTGCGGAGCACGTTCGCCCACAGGATGCGGTTGGACGGCGAGACGATGTGGCCGCGAAGGTAGCGCTTGAGGGCTACTCGGAAGCTCGGCGCGCTCCTCCCACAGCGCTGGCGCTTGGGCGGCAAGTTCAGATTCTTCGCTAGCGGAACAGGCCCCCGAGAAGATCCGCACTTGCACACCAATGTCCATGGTCGGAAGTACGCAATACAAAAATGCGCTGCGAGCGGCAGCGTCATTTCGCTGAGGCCTGATGGGCTCATGAAAGACGGGTAGCGCGGGGACGCCCCGGGGTACAATCACGTACATGTGCGCAAACTCCATGTCGTCTGTATCTTCTTCGAGCGCAAAGTACCTGCATTCCTCCGTGGGTGGCTTCACGACATTGCGGACCCCAGACCGTGGAGGCCCATCAGCCGCGGCCGGCGGCGAATTCGCCCTCCACTCCGTCGGGCCCGTCGATGGCTTCGAAGCATCTCTTGGTGGCGGGTACGTTGGTACCACCTCGTACAAGCGGACGAACTCGCACGGGCTCAAAGCGGCATGATTGGGTCGGTAGGCGTACGCTCGCGCCGTCGCGTCCGGCGGAGTGGCCACCTCGCCTGCGTCCGTGAACACCACGGACCTCTTCTGGCGCCGCGCCGTCGCGCGCCCTACCCGAGTCTCGTCCGTCACGATCTGGAGGAAGCAGCCCGCGTAGAAGTCGGTGACAGGGCACGACGTGATGCACTCCGCTGCGAGCGGATTTGGCTTGTCCGCGAAGTGCGCCAAGTTCACCTCCTCGAAGATCGTCCGCGCCACGCCCTTGGCCTCCCAGTCCCCGACGCAGCGGTGAACAGGGTTGATCGTCTGCTGCATCTCGGACTTCCCTTGGAGTCGCTCGGCCAGCGTGGACAGGCAGGTCTTCACCAGTTCCCGCGCCTTCTTCCCGACGCGCTGCACCTTGGAAATGTACCCGCCGATGTACCGCGAGGAGTTCGACATGGACCGCTGCACCGCGAATGCGATGCGTCGAAGGTGCCCTTCTTCTGTGTCTTCTCTGGAGCCGTGTCGACACAGGCAGTTCGGGTCGTGAGTAATGCCTGTGATCAGCGGGAGCCGGTTGTTCGGCGCCGTGTGCGTGTTGCTCCGAAATGCCACCGCCAATGCTGGACAAGTCCCGCTCAGGAAGTCGTCGTTCCGAGGCCCCGCGATCTCGCCCAACGCACTCCTCGGCCCGTTCACTTTAAGCCCGACTTCCCTGGCCACCTGAGGGCACACAACGCGGAATCTCGGTCCATCTGGGGCCGCCATGAGCATGGTCTTCGGGAAGCCGTGCTTGCACTTGTCGCCGTGTTTGCAGCCTTTCTTGATGCAGTGTGTGAGCGGCTTCCCGTTGGGATGGTGGTGATGCTGGACCTTCGAGAAGATCATCTGCGCATCTGCCTCGTAAGCCTGCTTGAAGGTGGCCGCGTCGGCGTCGCAGGCAACGGCATCGCACCCCTCGTCCCACTTCGTCTTCGGCTCGGCATGGTCCACATACGCGGGCCACCGACACAGACCTACGTGCTCCGATGCGCGGTGATTCTGCCGCCACTCAGACTCCAGCGACGGTAGGCTCTCCCGGTGCTCCTCGGGGGCCCAGTGCTCTTCCCTGTGGACCCACGCGTGCCACTCCTTAACCGCGTCCGCCAAGCCAGGGGACTCCCGAATTGTCCTCGCGATCTCAGTCAAGGGTGCGTGCTGGAACATGTTCGCGAGGTACACGAACCCGTGGAAGTGGAGCGTGCCTAGGTGCTGGTTCTCGACGGCGCCAAGCAAAGCTGCAGCAACCCCGAAAATCCCGCCCATGGGGCGCGAATTGGAGCCGAACTTGTCCGTGCAACAGCACCGGGGCTGCCTACGATATCTTCGCGCGACGCCGCACTCGGCGCACAACCGCAGACCCAGGAGGCGGCCCAAGATCACGTTCACGGCGACGCGGAAGCCCTGAACGACCGAGAGAGGATCATTGGCCACTTCGCACAGACGCAAATCGAAATCGGGGAGCTCCGCGTCGGCGCTCTCCGACAATGACGGCCACTCCCGTGACGCCAATCGTTTCCTCATGGCATTCCGTGCGTCGTCTGTGCACCCCGCGCGCAGCGGCGGGTCGCCCTGGCGTGCTCTGTGTAGACGCATCACCAAGCAGGACTGCTTCTGATTTGGCGAGATGGTGATGAAAAGCCCGTGCCCGTATCCAACCGCGCCAGACTGGAATACGTGGCCCATCCTGCGACGCAGCTCCTGGGTGCCTGCAAGGCTGCTCGTCACAGAGCGCATGTTGTGCACGATCTGTTTCTGGGTTGTGTCCAGGCCATGCGCCATGTGCAGCACCGTCAAGTTGCCAGCAATTGGCCGCCTGTTCGGCCCGTAGTACCCCTTCGCCAACAGGTCGTGCAACCCGCGGACAGCCGCGGTCAGGCGCTCCGTGAAAGCGGATCCGTCTTCGTCCTTGTACTTCCTGACTTTGCTCCCCAACCTCGCGGTGATGCCCAAAAAGCGGAAGTGGACATTGCGCATGCCTGGGATGAAGAGCCAGTCCGATCGGATATGGTGTTCCACTCGGCGACTCATGCCTGCAAGCCACATCCCCATGCTGATGGACGGCCGGTTTTGCACTTCCTCGGGCCGCCCCACCGCGCGCGCCGATCCGCTTCTCGGCAAAACCGTTGCGCCAAATACCTCGTGAAGTCTGCCCCCCGCTCCTGCCACAGCGATCGTGTGCGGGAAAAGCGATCGCGGGTACTTCCCGCCACTGCTCCAACATGGGCCGCGCGGCGACGTAACGGACGACTGGCCCGCCCGTTCCATGCTCTCTGTTGCTTGGTGGGGGGGGGAAAAAACAAGCCACTGACTCCCGCGTCCCCTTGCCGGACTCGCATCTGGGGCGCGCAGGCGGTCGACTGGCATCGCGTCGAAAACCAAGCGACTCATGCTGTCCATCGCCCGCCTCGCGTGCTTGTTAAAAAAAAAAAAAAAAAAAAAAAAAAAAAAAAAAATCCTGCACACTGCTCCTGGACGGATCCGCCACCACCGTCGCCCGGTCCACGGCTGGCGGGACCTTCCCGTCGGTGTCCTGGGGGGTGCCGAGCCACGGGTAGCACTGCTTCACGCGCCTTTCAAACGCCTCCTTGGCAGCGGCGATTGCGATGGGATTGCCAGCAGCATCTCTACAAAAAGCGGGGTGGCCGCGGTCGATGAGCTCCCAGCCGAGCTGCAGCACCACATGAGCGCGGAGGCGCATGCGCTTCAGATGCTTCGACATGTCCTTGTCTTTCATCCGGAACTCGAAGCGAACCAAGTGGGCCAGCGTCTCGCCGTCGTGGGGCAGCGCCGCAGCAGCACTGGAACTCTCCGTGATGGCGAGCAGGCGCTCCAGGACGTCGTCCCAATGCACCAGGAAGCTGGCCAGATTACCGCGGACAGCGTACCGACTGTGCGGATGCATGGCCTCTGGGGTTCGCCGTGCGAGCAGCGCGCCACTACCCCCCGTGCACCACTCGGCCACACTGCAGTTTCCAGGGGGGGCGGGGTCCGCAAAGAACAGAGAAGGGGCAGTGCCGCGCTACTTCGCGCAGCTCGCCTGATTGTTCATGAGGTGGCCCTTATCGCCCTCGACGTAGAACGCCATCAAACTCGTCCACACTGGCGTGGCCGCGGCCATCTCGATCCACCGGGGCTTGTGCTTCTCCCACCATGCCGACACGAACCCGACAAAATTGTCGTTGGCGATGGCGGGACGCGGGATTCGCTCCCGCACCGTTCGCGTCTTCGCGAAAATGCCGCGGCACTGCCAGCACAGAGGTACGCGGCACGACTCGCACAGCTCATCAACAACTCCATGCTGACGGTCGCACACCACGTCTTCCGGGCAGCACAGGAAGCGCATGGAGTTCTGGCTTCCGTTCGGACCATTCCACCGCACCGTTCGCACCCACGGCGAAGACGCGGTTGTCTGCGTCGGATAGCGGTGCGACCGCGTCCCGCGGTGGTCCGGAGCAGGGTGCGGGAAGTGCGCCAGGAACGCGTCCAAGCCGAAGGCGTACTCCAGGAGCTCACGCGGACAACTGCGCAAGAGCCCGCGCAGTGGCGTCCATCCAATCTCACTGACTCCAGCGGACTCGGGGTCCTCGACACTCGTGTAGATCTGACCGCAGCAGAAGCACACACAGCGACCCGACAAACAACACCGTTCGCCACTTGCCCTCATGTGCGAAAATATGCCCCCTCTCTTCAAATATGCCCCGAGAGCTGCATGCCCGTGCGCGCCCACCTCCACCGCCTGGGCAGTAAATATGACCAGAATCCAGCTATCCTGCTCCTCCAATCACCTCGGCATGGACGCCGACATCGTCGGCGCTGTCAGCGAGTCTCTTGTTCCACCCCTGCCTCCACGCTGCTGGGAGGCAGGCCTGGTGGCAGCTGATTACGTGGCGCCGCAAATCCCCTTCCGTCTCCCCGGTCCTGCGGCACTGCCGAACGGCGCAGTTGCAGATCGGCCACTGCAATCCGTCCATTACCTCCTGGATGTTGTCTGCGGCGTCCGACGGGTCGAACGGCGGAGGAAGCGTCGGGTCCTGCCGGAGAAATGCAGGGAAAGCCCGAGCTGCTTCGTGGGCGACGTCCAGCGTCGTGTGCGCCACGTCGGCGCCGCAGGCCAAGTGGTCAACGTCGGACTGCTCTGACCCGGCAGGGGCCTCCGACAGCTCGGAATTGGAGTCCGACGCCGGCTCTGAGGGCGATGACTCCCGGTCGGCGTCGGAGTCAGACTCGGGGGCCTCCGCGGCTGCAGCGGCATGCTCTTCGCGTTCGCCCTGCGGTCGGAGACGCCTTAGCGCGCGCGCAGCCGCGCCCCGTCGGCGGCCTTCGGGCGCGCGTTGCAGCCGAACTCCGCGCCCGCCGCACTCCCTCTCATTGAAACGCAAGCGCCCGGGGCCCCGGCTCAGGATGCGGCCCGGCGGAGAAAAGGCGCCCCGATCGGGCGGCGCCAGTCGGAAGAGTCTGCCCGCGCCGACTTCATGCGCGAAAGCGCGTAGGCCGGGTCAGGATGCGGCGGCGGCGGCGGAGGTGCAGCGTGGCGCGGTCTCCACTCCAGAGGGTCGGCGAGAAAACGTAAGAACCTATGAAGAAAGCCGCCACGTCCTTCCTCGCCGAATAGCGCATCCCACGTCATCGAAACACCGAACGGGTCGCTGAACCTTCCCCCGCACGCGCAAGTCGCTCTCCCAACGTCGCGGAGCGTTCGTGGCCAGACGTCGCCACTTCCCACCGCATCGTAGTGTGAAGACCCGTCGACGTCATAGTGGACAAAAGCAAAATCGAGCACTGGGATTTGCGCACGTCCCTGCAGCAACCCCTGGTCCGGGAAGATGGCCGCCTGGCTCCACGCGTTGAATGGCACGTACAGAGCGAGAGCGCCACAAGCCTCCAGGAAGTGCGTGATCACAACAGCGTCTGCATATCGGCGCGTTGCCGACACGTCCTCCGAATGGAGGCCCATGCATATGTCCACGTAGAACACCTGCAGTGGGCGGGGGCAAGAGATAACGCGGGGGTCACTGCGACTCCGCCATTGAAAGCCAGACCAGTCCCCCAAAAAATTCCTTCGCCCGAGTGAACGCATAAGCGCGGCCCCAGACGCCCTCTCGGCAACGCCCCGACGGCCCCGCCCTCAGAGTTCGAAAGCATCGCGTGCCTCCTGTGCAAGCACTATTTGGGAAATGTGCTCCTGGATCTCCGGGCTCCGCGAAGGGCACCCCTTCCTCCCCGTGCCCGCGGCGCCACCTTCCAGTTGGGGAGACTGCCCCACGCGACGCCACTGGCCACCTGCGCTGGCAACTCCTTCTGCAGGCGGGCCCTCCTCTCCACGGCGTACTCGTCCAGCTGCAGCGCCGCGAACAATTGCTGGTTCCGCTGCTTCATCATCTTCACCAGCGTCCATCTGTACAGCTTCCAAGCCGCGCGGCCTGGAAGTCCCAGTTCGGCAGCCGCAGCGCGGAAAAAGCACAGCCCGTCTCCACGAACAGGGCGCACGGACAGCCGCATCCCTGGCCGCGTCGCCGAGAGCAGATCAGCCACGCGACCCAGCGACTCGTTGGCGCAACTAATGCGGGACCGCCTGATGGCCTCCCCGTCATCGTCGAGCCCAACCTCGCTCACGCGCGCCTGGTCGACTGCGATCTCCTCGTCGCTCGACTCCGCCATGGCGCGCCAGAAGCGTCGCCGCCCCGCGGGCCAACTGGGCAGCCCTGACTGCGGCAAGACTGGACCCCGGAGCCGCTATCGAGCCCACATGGTTTACAGATGCCGCGCGCGCTGAGATGGGCCATTGTGGGACGCACGGCTAATGGGCGAATTCCGATGCGACCTCAGGTTGCGCGGCGCTCGGCGCATGCTCCGGGGTTGCTTTCAAAATGGTCTTGCATTGAAGCGTGATTTTCGGAAGGGCGCTCGCAGACGCCACGCAGCCCCCTGGGGCTCCACGATCCCGGAAGTCTAAAAGGACCTGGGGTTCACAGAGACAGAATGGATCACAACCTCCGATGCCCCAGCGAACGTGCTGCCCGCCCACAGGGGTCGGATCAAAAGGCCTCGAAGGTGCAGCCAGGAAGCAGAATCACAGAGCCCGAGATCGGCTTGGCCATCGCTCCCCGGTGTATCTCCCGCGGTCACTGCGGGTTCGCATTGAAGTTTAAACGCGACCTCAGGTTGCGGGACAGACAACGCAGAAGTTTTCCCCATCAGTGAAAGAAGACGAAGGTGGGTGCATATCATGAAGTGACAGTTATCGTGTGGACTCGTGCGCGCGGCGAGTGAATGAAGACGATGGTGGTTGCCGGAGATGTGATGCCGATGGTGGTGTTTGTCCGTCTGGATGGTGCTGAATGATGGCAGGTAAGATGATACATCGAGGCTATGATGAAGGAGGTTTCTTCAAAATCGACAGACCTACTGGAAACTTCAGAAAGATAGGGAGGAGTTTTGGCAACACGCTGACTACAAGCCTAACCAGCTTTGGGTAATGCTGCTTTCGCTTTATTGTGCTCGAAAAAGGTCAAAGCTAATGTACATGCAGCACCGTGCGAGCAGCTGCGGATCGAAAGTCCCGATAATCATGGGAGCGCGCTGCATGGCCGACGGGGAGAGCTGGAAAATGTTACTACCTGAGCGCTGGACTACCTGAGCGCTGGAACGAGTCATGCGGGTTCACCCCTCAGTGTCAAGAGATGTGCAAGCACGACGAGGCGTTGGTCAAGAGGCCTGGTCAAAACTGCCGCTGAGAAGGCAAAGCTGGTTCTAGCCGAGTCTGTGGCTCGGCAGTCGTGGCGCTGAGAGGGCAAGGCTGGTTGTAGCCGAATATACTCGGGGGTTGCCAGGGGTGCCCCCGGCCCAATGCGCTTCTGGCTTCTCGTGCCATTTTAGAGCCCCCAGGGCCCTCTGACCCCCGCGAGGAGCGCTCTGGAGGCCGCGGGGGCCCCCGCGGTACTTCTGGGGCACCTTGGGCCAAGGACACCTTGAGCATCAATCCGATAAAGCGCCGGCCAGCCAGCGCTCGGAGCGGCCTGCTTCCCTCGCGCCCTGGCGCGCCCGGGCGCGGCAAACCGCGGCGAGCATCGAGTGAGGGCGCTCACTGCTCAGCGTACTCCATGGCTCCAGGGCGCGCAGGAGGTCGCCCGTGGGGGGGCTGTCGCGCACGAGCACAAGCAGAACCTCCAGGCCGTCGAGCAAGGGCTCCAGCCCGTCGAGCTTCGCCTTGTCGTCCGCCAGCATGGCCGCCTGCGCATCTGCCTGCAATGATTCGAGGAAGCGATCAAGCTTCGCCACGATCTTCGCAACGGCCGCCTCCGGCGACATGTCCCTCGCCGCCGCCGCGGCTGCCATGTCCCCCTCGAAGATCGTCAGGCGCTGCGCCCACTCGAGCCTTCGAACGGGGGTTGCATTTCCCGAAGCAACGCGCCCTCTGCGCCGCCGCATCGGGAGCGGTGCGCGGGGATCGGGAAGACCGCGACATGAACGCGATAATCATAGCCGCGCTTGCCTTCCCGAGGCGGAAACGCTCGGGCGCCCCCCCCGAAAATGCAACCCTCGCGCGGCAACCTGTCGGCCGGGAAAGCCGCCGCCGGCCAGCGAGACACGGTGCCCGCGAGCGCCTCCGCGCCGACCCCCGGCATCTCCACGAAACGCTTGACCGCGGCAGCGATGTCCAGCTGAATGCCCTTGAACGCACGGTATTTCGCCCTCTCCGCAGACTGCGCTGCGCTCCGCGCTTCCCCCGCTGCGAACGCCGTCGCCGCCTCGAGGTACGCGCCCACCGTCACCTCCGCCGCGGCGGCGGTCGGCGCCGGGACGGCGTGGGCCAGCGGCGCGGCCGCGGGCGCCGGCGCCTGCGCAACCCCGGCGACGCCCGCAGGCGGAGCCACCGCCGGGACCGCCAAGGCTCCGCCGCTGGCCATTGAAGCGGCACCGACCGCCGGGGCGCCCGCGGGCGCACGCGCCGGCGGCACGGCATCCGCGCCCGCGCCAACCGCCGCCAACGTCATCGCCCTCGACGCGGCAACGCCGCCCGCCGTCGCCACCTGGACGCTGCTGGCGGCGCGCTTCACTTCCCGTATCGCCGCCGCGGCCTCTGACCGCCGCGCCAGCGCCAACCGCCTCCACCCCCGCCGTCGGCGATTCAGCGACGCCGCCCGCCATCGACATCTGGAAAACGCCGGCGGCGGTTGTCTCTGTCGCCATCTCTGCCTGCGCCCCGCGCTGCCCCGCATCCACGGACAGCGTGACCGCGGCGAAAAAAAAAAACAAAATAAAAAAAAAAAAAAAAAAATAAAAAAAAAAAAAAAAAAAAAAAAAAAACAAAAAAAAAAAAAAAAAAAAAAAAAAAAAATAGAATCAAAAAAAAAAAAAGGTGGCTCCCGCGATGAGTTTGTCACGCGCGCCTTCACCGCGAGCAGCTGGCAGGAAGTCCCCTTCCGCCCGGGGGGCAGCCGTGAGAACGGACCGGGAACCGCTCCCACCGCGCTAGCGCCAATAGAGCTCCAGCCGGACGACGGACGGTTACCCAGCAACCCAGATTCGAGGAGCCCTCGACGTAACTTGTCGGCGACCAGTCCCACTGGGCGAATCTGCACGGAATGCCACGACGTCCACCTGGTATGGTTCGTGGAATTCGTGTTCTCCCGGAACAGCAGCTTCGACGCTCCGCCCTGGTGCGAGAACCCTCCTGGGCGGCCAACGGCATTTACGCCCATGGCCTCGCCGATCAGTTGGCGCAGCTCGGCGCGGAACTCCTCGAAGGTCTGCGTGTACATCCCGAAGCACCACGCACCTGGGGCATTCGCAATGCCGCCCTCTGCCGTTTCCTGGACGACAGCAGTCGGGTTGTCCTGGTGCGACGGGCTCATGTACTCGGCCACGACGTTCTGCGGCAACCCAGCATTGAATGCTGTGGCCCACTCGGGGACGTTGGCCGCATTCTTGGAAATCAAGCCGGACATCCAACGAACTGCGTTCTTGGACTCCTTCCTGCAGACAAGCTCGTCCGCATCCGCGAGCACTCCGACGATGCCGCCATCAAATGCCAGGCCCTTTGCCTGCACACTGACGTCGAAGAATACCTCCAGCACCATGGCCTGGACCTTCGAGTTCGCGTCCATCTCGCGGGCCTTCAGCGGGGAGCCACCGGCCGACTGGAGGAACGAGGTCATGCTGAGGAAGTCAACGCGAGTTCGCTTGCCTGAGAGAACACCTTGGTCCGAAGTGGCTGCGGGACTTCCACCTTGCCTTCTCTTTCAGATGGACAGCCTTCATCTGCAGGGCTCTTGGCGTCCACGACGGCCCCATATGCCTCCACAGTGACAGTAGGACGCCCAGAAGAGGCTCCCAATAATGCCTCCGCAGACCCAAAAGTGACCCGGCAGGCCTGCAAAATGGCGCAGCTCGCCCACGCGCATGAAAAGATATCCCCAGAATGCCTCCGAATAAAATCAAATGATATAGCAGCGGTGCTGCGAAGACAGGAACGAATCCCACAGACGGGCCAAAGTAGCCCCAAGAGGCCCCAAGAAGGCCCCACAGATCCTCCCACGAACCCGCGAAAATGGCGAGCGGCCCCAAAGAGCCCCCGATGGGAAAGACGAACTGGCATTTTGAACCTTTCCCCCCAAGATGGCCCCCAAGAAAAAGAAAAGCCTCCCGCGGGCTCCCTGAAAAGACCCCAAAAGGCTCCAAGATGGCCTCGCGATGAGGCCCCCCAAAGCGCCCCAAGACAGCCCAAGGTGACCCCAATAAGGTCGGCTGAAGAGGCTCCCAAAATGGCCTCAAGATCAGAGGCCCCCAAGAGTGCCCCAAGACAGCCCAAGGTGCCCCCAACAAGGTCGGGGACGGCCAGCGCGACAACGAGTATGGACCAGGATGGACATCAAGACGGCCGACACGGCCTTCAACGTGAAGGCTGAGTGACTCTGAATGTGAGTGAGTCTGAATGTGAATGTGTCTTCGCGTGTGAGTCTGAATATGACTGAGCACACTGTTACTGTATCTGGGTGTGAGCGGCATGCGGAAGACTCAGTCAGGGAATCAGAGAATCTGAGTTGGAGTCTGAATGGGCTGTAGGGCTATAGGGCTATAGGGCTCTAGAGCTATGCGGCTATAGGGCTATAGAGCTATGCGGCTATAGGGCTATAGGGCTATACGGCTCTAGGGCTCAAGGGCAAAAGGGATATAAGGCTATAGGGCTATAGGGCTATAGGCCTATAGAACTATAGGGCTACAGGGATATAGGGCTATGGAGCTATACGGGTATGGGGATATAGATGTGAAGGAATATCGGACTACATTGCTATATGGGCTATTGGGCTATTGGGCTACAGGACTATAGGGCTAAAGGGTTATAGGGCTATAGGGCTATAGGGCTATACGGCTATAGGGCTATAAGTCTATAGCGCTATAGTGCTCTAGGGCTCTAGGGCTATAGGGCTATAAGGCTGTAGGGCTATAGGGCCATGTAGGCTATAGGGCTTTAGAGCTATGGGGCTATAGGGCTATAGAGCTATAAAGCTATAGGGCTCTAGGGCTCTAGGAATATAGGGCTATAGGGCTACAGGGCTATAGGGCTATAGGGCCTCCGAATGCCCCCAGAAAGCTCCAAAGATGCTCCAGGAGTGCAAAGTCGATCAGGGCCCCCGCTGGTGGCCCCGCAGGGTGAC